AGACGACATACCCTTCAGGCGGCACCGGCTCACCCTCATCGCCGGGGAGCAACCACTCCTGGACGGCGGATAGTGGGCGGAGAAGGCCACGGCGGACGAGGCCCTCCAGACGCCGGGAAGTGATGCTTGATCTGCCCCACAACTCCATTGAAGCAGGAGGGGGGAAGGGCAGGCGCGAGCTTAACGGGCGGTCAAACACAAACGCAGCCCGGTCGACGGTGGCAATGCGGGCGCAAGAGGCTGGGAAGATTGGCGGCGGATGTTTCAGAACGCAAAGGAAGGGGAGTGAAACACGGGACCCTGGGGGCGAACCCCGCGGTTTTATAGGAGGCGACGGACGCGAGAAGGGCAACCACCCGCCTCGATCTCTGGGTCTGCCACGCACGCCACCGCGTCACGTCATGGGACACGCGCTCCCATGTCCCCTATCCTCTCATCCTAAAAATCTCGGTGGACGGTTCGCCTTCCCCAAGCTTAATCCGGACTCTCCACCCACTGGGAAGCACAAGCCACAAAGGCCCGCTTTTTTTCTCTTTGGCCCACCTAGGGCCCAAAGAACTCACCGCCGGCCTAACTAAGAAGGAATCTCTGAACAATCCGCCACCAAGGGCAGAAGCACCAGTGAGGACGGCCCCAAATCAGTCCCCAGTAAATGGGACGCCACGACCCACTCAGAAAAACACCCTCCAGGCGGTTCTACCCGAATCACCTGGAGTCTCGGGGGCTACTGTCGGGGACCTAATACCAGGGTACCCCAGAAGGTGGAACCGATGACCACCGAACGTAAAAAACTTCTAGATGCATAAGGGCTCCATGTCATCCCTTGTTCGAGTGACAGAGTTCGGTTCCGCCGCCCCGACGCCTTGAGGGCGGGCTCGGTCTCGCCCGAGGGCCGAGGGATGAATTCCGCCTCGCCTGACGCCGGGAGGGGCGGGTCGCCTTACCCGACGCCTTGGTAGGATAACCCCGCCTCGCCCCAAAAAAGCTCAAGGCTAATCTCTGCCTCGCCTGGCGCGCCTATAGGGCGGGCTCGGTCTCGCCCGAGGGCCGAGGATAAACTCCGCCTCGCCGACGCCTTGAGGGCGGGCTCGGTCTCGCCCGAGGGCCGAGGGACGACCCGCCTCGCCCGACCCCGGAGGGGCGGGTCACCACCCGACGGCCCAGAACCAGCCTCGCCTGATCGATATCTATCCCTCATAATGATGGGTACAGGGGAGACAAGACGTTCGGGTCAACCATGGCTCCAACGACCATACCTGCGCCTGGCAGAAAAGGACTGCCAGGAACGACAGACTAAAGCTTTAGACCCTTCCGGGCGCCAGAGCCCAAAAGGTATTACAGTGCGTGCACCTCACCTGTAGAGTTGTAGGCGCCGCCTTGGCTCTGGGACACGAAACCCGGACGAAGATATACGACAACCGCTACGATCCAGAAAGGATTTGCTATCTCCACGAACGATGGGTATTCCGTCACCACACGGTGGACCCGAGGAGCGCGGCGCCCGCTTCCCGACCCCTCAGTCCTCCTCCCAAATAAGGCCTTGACCACGGCGTTACACCGACCCCCCGACCCAAGATTCTCCCAACGAGGACTCATGAGAACCGTAAGGCGTGCGGAGCAAGGTGGGGAGGCTCATAAGTCAAAACCATCAGATCAAGCAGCCCATACCTGCAAGCAGGCAAAGATTCTCGTGACTAACCCGACATCCCGCAGAGACATCGACAACATTGTAAACACTTATCTTCCTTCGCACTCATCAGGGTGGAGGACCTGACCAGGTAGACGTAAGCCTCAAGACTAAGTAGAGTACGCGTCCTGGAGCCCTTACCCTTGTAAAGCCAGCCCCTTCGTCTATAAAAGGGGATGCGCTTCTTCTATAAAAGGGGACGGAGAGAAAGGAGGACAAAAAACAATAGAACACACTCACACACATTCAAGCAGCTACGAAGCTCTTGACCACCTTTCAATCCTTCGATCAGAGACTTGGGACCAGTCCCTCTCTCGGCAGTTTGTATCCCTTACTACAGATCGTTACGGTGCTAATAACACAAGCAGCAACAAACTGGACGTAGGGACGTTTCGCCCGAACCAGTATAAATCATGTGTCCTTTAGCGCACCATCCGAGCCTAACGCGCATTACTATAAATTCACTTGTCGGTGCTTGTACGAAACACCGACACCAGGATTCGCGACTCTGTCTCGCCCGATCCCTAAACTACCTCGGCTGCGACCGACGGCAAACCACGGCGCCCGCTGACAAATACCCCCTAGGCGATTCTACCTGAATCACCTGGGGGCTCAGGGGCTACACCCACGGGAGCGCTCGCGCGCACCCGCTGTCGAAACAAAAAATTCTCCCGCTGGCAACACGGAAACCCCCCCGGGTGATTCTACCCAAATCATCCAAGGGCTCGGGGGCTACACCCACGGGTGTGCTCACGTGCACCCGTTATTAAGATAAAAACCCCTCCAGACGATTCTTCCCGAATTGCCCGGGTGCTCGGGGGCTCCTGTCGGGTTCATAAACCCGGGGTCCCTCATGGACCGGCTTCCCAGCAAAGGCTCGGCCCAGCAGACGACGTTGCGAACGACGTGTAACTCCTAGGCCGGCCCAAAATGCCTAAACGACAGGCCCAAAAGGCGATCCAATCTTCGACCGGAAGGCCTGGCCAAAGAGGAACGGCGCTCGCTTTCGACTTCGGCATGTCTCTCCGACCAGAAGGCCTCGCTAAGGAGGAACAGTGCTCGCTTCTGACTCTGGCCCGCCTCTCCGACCAGAAGGCCTGGCCAAACACCACTTTTGACTCCGACCCGCTTCTCCGATCGGGGATGCACCGAACCCCTGCTTACAGCTTTTCTCCAACTGGCGCAGTCAGAGCCGACTGGGACCAACCGACCGGGGACGCCTGCTCGGTGAGGACCAGAAAACGGACGGAGAAAGTAAGGCAAGGCACTCTAGTCAAACGCAATACCGAGGACCGTACCCTACGCACCTGTAGGACCATAACCGACAGGACCTGTCAGAAGGGTACCCTGCAACCTTCTAGGCATGCCAGAACTCAATCAGTGTTGTGGGCGTCGACATTTGTCCTACAGTGTTGTGGGCGCCATCAACTCCCATAGCAGACAAACACAGTAAGACTCCCCCACATGCATCTGGGCACCAACAGTGTTGTAGGCGCCATCATTTGCCCTACATGGAGAACACGGTAAAAACCTCCCACATACGTCTGACAACAATAGTGTTGTGGGCGCCTACCATCATCTTGTACCCGACGGCTTGGGCAACAAGACTTAGTAGTATACATACTCTATCTCTTGTAAGGCCGTCCCCTTCATCTATAAAAGGGGACGCACTCTCTCCCAACACTAGATCCATCAGTTCACTTACATCAATTCACCCTCTGCTAGCTTTAGACACTCTAAAGCTACACAGAGCGCACGCTCGAATACTTAGCACATAGCGGAGCTCCTGTCACTCTTGGCCCTTCAGACCAAAGTCCGACCGGACCTCTTGCACCCCCCATCTTACTCCCTTCCGTTTGTAACCCCACAACAAACTTCGAGCACCTGGGCTCAGGAATAAAGTCACCGACCGACTCAAATTGGACGTAGGGCATGTTGCCTGAACCAGTATAAACCCTGTGTCATTGAGTGTTGGACCACATCCGATCACAACGTGCGGCAAAACTACAAATATTTACGTGTTGATCACTTTCTACACCAACACATAGATTTTAAAATTCAAAATTTATAATTTCCAAATAATCATGAATGTTCATATGATTAATACCAAAGTTGTAGCGATGGACCTTATCTACAAGTTTCTTATTGATATATAAGTTTTTTATTTGAAGTTGTTGGTGTCTCAAATATTTTATTTTAAATTTACATCTTTTAATATCTATTTTTTATAAAAAATAAATAATCTCGGATGGAAACGCATCTCCATGTACTTAGTCTAATACTCTAGCTCCGTCAAGTCGTGTTCTTTCATAGATTTGTCCCTACTTATCCTTTGCTTATATACTTTGGTACGAAATGAGACCTGACCTATACGTAGTTCCGCATCTCTTGACTTCTATGGGTGTGTTTGGCACTGCTCTACGAAATCTATGGAGTAGCTCTACAAAAATCTAAAGTTCGTGGAGCATCCTTTTAGGTGCTCTCATAACTTCATATTTTCTCCTCAAACAGAGTGCTAGTTAAAAAACGTGAAGCGAAGCTAAGAAGCGAAGCAATCTCAAACAACTCCTGTATATATATAACTCCTGTATATATATAGAGAGAGCGCTACTAGCTAATCAGTGAGGTAACTACACCCAGAATTCGCCCACGACAGTTATTCGGGGGAGCTCGTGTGGCCGCCGGGCCACCAATCCAGAACGTCCCTAATTCTCGACAGCTACCTTTTCTCCTCCGCCTTTGCGCCCCGCGCAACAGCACCGGCGTGAATGGACGACTGACACGACGAGCGCATCGCCTGCATCCTTCCAAACGAGCAAGCGGGAAAAGGGGTCATCTCCTGTGCCTGCGACAGAGACTCTGTCCGGGCCCCGTCGAAGGCGACGTCTTCCTCGATCGTCCTCGGCGCGTTGTCCTTAGGCGCCGGTACGACGACGAACGTCCTAGACCCATGGGCTACATGCGACGACGACGACGAACAGAGAGAAACGTCTAGAACACATGCCACCGAGTACGTGCAGCAACAGCATGCGTAAACCACGTGCGACACCATTGCCTCGGCGCTGAATCACATCGCTCACGAACATGAATGCTAAGGTGTAAGGTGCACGGCGGCCGATCGAGAGGCCGACGGATCGACCCCTCGCTCGATCCCTGGTGTACAATGCGAGAAGCTTTCATGGTCCATCGATCCCTCCCCGGCCGGCCGCCGGTCGAACCTGATTCCTGAATACCCAGCCTAGTAGGGACTACTAAGGAATCACCATGAATCCACCACACGTACACTATGATGATATCTCCTTTCCTCGTGGTTTCATGCCACCGCGTTCCACTCCAGCAGCGGCCATGTATCCCACAGGTCCGGAGTGGCACAGAAGGGATCGTGCAGGCCCTCGTACGCGACGACGTGGTCGTAGTACTCGGTCGCCGCCGAGTCCTCGGAGGCGTCTGCTACAGCCGGCGGCGTGGCGCCATCGTCATGCACCAGGGACCTGGTGCGGCTATTCCTCTTGTCGCCCGCCGCCTCCACGCCGTTGACCTCGCAGCTGCCGCTCTGGTCTTGCCGCTCGCTCAGCCTCCCCCTCAGCTCATCCACCTGGGAATCAACAATCGACAAGACATCGATCGTCAGCGTATATTTATGTATAACTGTATAAGAATCGATCGATCGGGTGTTGTCGACGACAGACATGATGAGATTTACGGTAGGTACCTGCGCGGCGAGCGCGAGCTTCTCCTGCCTGAGCGACTCGACGCGGGCGTGCAGCGCGTCGTACTGCGCCCGGAGCGCGGCGTAGTCGTGCTCGAGCTGCTTGGAGCGCCACCGCGCGCGCTTGTTCTGGAACCAGATGGCCACCTGGCGCGGCTGCAGGCCCAGCTCCCGCGCCAGCTCCGCCTTCTCCCGGGGCTCCAGCTTGGCGCGCCGCGCGTGGAACGTCGTCTCCAGCGACCGCACCTGCTCCTCCGTGAACCGCCGCTTCCTCTCCCCGCCGCCACCGCCGGGTCCCCGCCCCGCGCCCGCGCCCGCGTTGGGGTCCTGCTGGTCCCCCGCGGCCGCCACCATCAGCTGGTGCATGAGCTGGGCCGCTTCGTCGTACTGGTGGCGCGGCGGCACCACCATGAACTGGCAGTCGCTGCCGCGCTGATCCATGTCCTCCTCCTGGTTCCTGAACCGAACGCACGCACGCACCCGATCGAGCGCCGGCGTCGTCGTCGCTGCTCGCCAGAGCTAGCTAGCCAAGCTGGCAGCTGGCTGTATATGTGTAGTAGGCTAGTAGCAGTGGAGTGGAGCTCGGGACACGGCGGGGCAGGTCTTTATACCGGAGCTCGGCGCACGGGTCCGGCCGGCGGGATGCGCACACGTGGCGCCACTCCCGGCGACGGAGAACATGTAGGCCCTTCGATGGCTTGGCGCCGCGTCCAGGTGTTGCGCATCGGGCCGGTCGCACGGTCGCACTCCCTTCCCTTCCCCCGGATCAATCACCGCATCCACGGACGGAATGGTTATCCGGCCGTCTTGAGAGTTGCGACGGGTCCGCCCTTTACACGTGGTGCTCCCGCAGCGGCAGTCGAGCCCCCTACCCATACCGGAGCCGTGGAACTCCTGGGCTTGCATAAATTTTTAGACAAAGTTCTACGGAATAGATGGAAGCTAAAACTTGAGATCGAGCAGCAGTCGGAGATATGTGTTGTTCAGCCTCTCCCCTAAGAGATATGTGTTGTTCAATCTCCTCTAAATTTTTTCCTGAATCCGCCACAGCACATTGGTTGGAGTGCTCGAGCGAGTTTCCATTGGCACTACATATATGTATACGAAAGTATCTACATGTATAGTGAACAAGTATATAGAAAATACCTATAGCCAGAATTAGTCAGATGAACCAAAGGAAGGAAGCAAATAAGAGTGCAGAAGATGAACGTTATGTACCTTTGATTTGTAGGTGTGATTCTTCCCGTGGTCTCCGCAGGAATGCTTAGGCCATGTAGGGGATTCTTTGTGATCTAATTTTTTCTTCTACTTTGTAGTGAAGGAGAGCTGGTTGATGGAGTACAGGAGCGTTGAGAAGTACAGAGCAAGTGCGCTGGCTTGTGATAGCGATGTGGCGTTTGGAATTTTTGGTTCAAAAGGAAACCCTGATATATATAGAGGGCTACGGTGTTTGGATTCTGGAACGCCACGCCGCCGTTTTTTTTTGGTATTAAAAAAAGATATCCCCCGATGAATCTGGAAGCGAGACAACATATACACGTGACCACCCCGCCGTTTTTTTCCCAGTATTAAAAAAAAATCCCCCCGATGAATCTAGAAGCGAGACAACATGTCCACGTGACCACCCCAATGAATCTGGGCGCGAATTGCTGGCGAAATTGGCGTCATGAAGAGAGGTCATTGCACGATTATTATTTGTAATAATTGTCTAATCGTTGACCCAAAACGCTTTAACTGCAAAAGTACAACCAAACTGTGCAATTAGTTTTTGATTTCGCGCCGAGTAAAAGTTTGATGTGACGGAGAATCTTCTTTTGCATAGTGTCAAAGTTGGGAATTTGTTGAAACTAAACGGCCCCCAGAGAGACGATGACCTGACGTGATCACCCGCTGACTGCGCGCATGATTCAACGGCGAGAATCCTTTCGGATCGGACGCAGAGATGACTATTATTAGAGATTTCTTTTGAAGATGATTCCTATTAAGAGAAGATGGCCGGGTGGTGCCCGTGTTCCAGCAACAGAGCGGCCACAGCGGCGATGCGATCGAAGCGCTAGGTGGGGGATGGGACAGCGTCGACGTCGGCGGAGGGGAGCTTGTCCCGGACGGGACGCCGAGGTGGCACGGCATTTGTCACGTTGCGTGAGCGCGGTGGCTCGCGTGGAAGGCTCCGGCTCCTGTCGTACTCCCTACTACTCATGCTACTACGTCTGGCCGGGTGAGGGGTCGCTGTTTTTCGTTCGTCCAGCCGGAGCTCGATGGAGGGAGCCAGCACACGTCGTTGTTCAGTGTTCAGTTCCTAACGCATCACCTCCTCCTCGCTCCTGGGACCGTTGAAAGTCAGATGAGCTTATCGGCGGCACGGTGTTTACGTGTCCCCGCGTCCAACAGATGGTTGGACTCGGGCCTGCCGCCGATACGCCGTCCATTCAGTGGCGGAGGACGGAAAAAAATTAAGGTACGGCGAAATCGATAACATAGCCAGCAAAGATTTCTCACTAAATTGGTTTATACACACAAGAGCGTTGGTCATACCTGGTCAAATCTTGATCAATCGGAGATTGGTTAGTTTCATTGAGGCCTCCGGGGAGACGTTGCCAGCTGCTGCTGTCACCGACTCGACGACGACGCCGGGACTCGCGCTCGGCACTCCCGGTGAACGCGGGCTGCGAGAGACGGCAAAGCGTTGGTCATACCTGGTCAAATCTTGATCAATCGGAGATTGGTTAGTTTCATTGAGGCCTCCGGGGAGACGTTGCCAGCTGCTGCTGTCACCGACTCGACGACGACGCCGGGACTCGCGCTCGGCACTCCCGGTGAACGCGGGCTGCGAGAGACGGCAAACAGCTAAGACGTCGGTGCCGTGGGACTGGGACACGAAACGATGGTTCCGTGAAGTCGAAATGTGCCAAGAAAAAGGCCAAAGGGCCCATAGGACCACCGACCACATAAAGGAGCAGCCCATGAGGCCAGGTAACGGTTCGTAAGTTGCGTTGCTGTTCTTCTTCCTCCAGCCGGCATTCGACGCTAAGATGTTCCAGTGAAACTTCGCTTTCTTTGATGTGCTCATGCTGGAGAGTGATTTGTGGGTAAAATTTCCTGGAATGGAAATTTAAGGTATGGCGAGATCCGCCCTTGCACGACAGCTAAGGCATCTATCCAGATCTCGTACGCCCGTGTTGCTGGCTCCTACCACCGCCCGGAGCACAGCAGCATAGTGGTAGGACCACCGTAGCAAGGTGTAGCGTACATCTATCTATCTGTGTGCGGGCTCTCCCGTCCCCAGCGTGGGAGCGGCTTTTGCCAGCTGCGGCTGCGGACACCATACCCTCGGCCGGCAACGGCGCATGCAGCCGCAGAGGGCCGGCCGCGCGTGAAGAAAGCAACGTGCCATGGCAGTGGCATGGAGCCATGGAGTTCGCAGATGGACACGCGGCCCATTGCCTTGGAGATCTAGTGTGCGTGCACCTGATAAGATTATAAGAAGCAGGAGATGCATTATTCATTAACAGCCACGCTGGGGAGCCTGAAATAGTCCCATAAAGAATTACCGTATTATGGGAAATCTAGACATGGTGGTAGTAAGAAATATTTAAGTTTCTGGTGCAAAGACTTCAATGAAATCATCATCTATATTTGGTAGCATCTGTGAAAGAAATAGGATCATAGAACATTTCAACAACTGTTAGTATTTGATCAGATTGCCATATGTTAATCCAATATTATGTTTAGCAAATGAGATGTGTGTTAGCATGAGCACAAAAGAAACTCTTCGATGCTGCCAAAGATTAAGTTTGGCAACAAGACACAATTTTCGTTTTTTTTTTTGCCCTGAAGGACATTGTCAAATTTACATGATGTACTATTGTGCCCATTGCCATCAACTCTGCATTAAGATTCACACATTGCAGAAGAGCTCATGCCCTTACGGAGAATCCCTTTCAAACACCGGATGAAACCCCTGAGCAGGAACAATTGGACAACACATATTTTATTCAGAATCTCAGAACCAGACATCTTTCACATAGAAATCTTCTCGCACATGCGTAGACCACTAGACCTGCACAAGCAATGTCCCTGCTAAGGTTATGAAGTATTGACGGAAGAACATCAAAATACAAACTTAGGCCCAAAATTAAATTACAGGAACGTACCTCTAGACGAAGAACCATGTACCAAGCACAGCAGCAGACCAGACAGATAAATGAACTACTAACTATTTCCATAAAACATATGTAACTCTGAGAAGGGAAATATTACTATCTTTGGCCATGCACAGTTAGATGGGGTACTGATGCCTCTGAAACACCCTGTTGCTCATAGGATATGTTATTTTTTGTACTAGAGTCGTTCTCATTTTCGAGATAGTCCAGATATTCCATCACTATTGGGTCTGTCCAAGGACATCCGAATGGAGCTTCATCACCTGCTACCCATCCAAGATGACCACCCTGTGGTGTTACTATAAGTAGACAGTTCTTATTTGCCTGAAACGACAGGGAACGTGACTTATTAGTCGACTTCTTGTTCAAAGCAGAATCAAACAAGAAACTACTTGACATGACATTTACAGTTATCTGCTTTAAAAATTGTCCAATTTTGGCACGCGTCTCTGGATATTAGTCAAAATTTAGGCCATGTTTGGTCGTTTGGATGTGAATACATGCCAAGCCAATTTTTAGCCATTGACCAGCATAAACATGGTCATTTGCATTCAGGTCAATAATTGGCATGCCCACGCCTGGCTTCCCATGCAACACACATACGTAAGTTTTGGCCCGCCAACCCATTGGCAGGACACTCACAGGCGGAATCCAAACATGCCTTAGGTTGCTCTACTTCTATTCAAGCTCAAATAACCAGATCGTATGTTTGATGTTTCTAATGCTTTTTTTTCTCGAACGACGACAGGAAAGCTGCATCGTCATTTCATTAAGATAGAAAGAACAAGAGTACAAAGGGCTGGGGAAAGAAATCCAGCCTAGGTACAAATACACACAAACACTCAAAAAGACCCCAGACCCCAGCACCTAGGACGCTGGAGGTAGCGACCAATGATTCTATTGCTTTCAACATGACTATTGCTCCCATAAAAATAAGTTGTTAACAGAAGTATAATTTGGATGATTTGAACTTGCCACAATCAAAATGGACTTGTCCTAGGCCCAACACTGGTTATGTTATTTATATTGACTCTCTCATCTGAGATTAGTTTGCTATGGTTAATCTACACTTAGAACATGACACCAAACCAAAGCCTATCATCTAATGTGTAATCAATGCATGTGTCGTTAATGAACTCCTAGTTCCAAGTTAAGATTCTCACTTTAGCCAAAGAAAGCACAGGAATAGCACAATTAAGTAATTAACAAAACAAAAGGTACAAATATATGGGCGACAAAGCTGCACTGTTTGAGGTATGCCTACAATTTGTTGATTCATATTAACTCAAGGGGCTAACTCATCGATCAGAGTGAAACAAAATATGTACTCCCTATGTTCCAAATTATAGGTCATTTTGACTTTTCTAGATACATAGCTTTTGTTATGCACCTAGATACTACGCTATGTCTAGATACATAGCAAAAGCTATGTACCTAGAAAAGCCAAAACAACTTATAATTTGGAACGGAGGGAGTAGGTCTTGCGCAACATATCATCTCTGAGTCATTATTAGGTGAAAAACAAAAGCAGATACCTTGATATCATCTCTAGGAATTCCCCTGGATGGTGCAATTGGGTCATTATCAGCCTGCACATAACTAAATTATGATTGAAGTTATAACAGAAAAGACATGCTTTGACCTCACAATATATGCACATAAACACGCTAATCACTGAAACGGTTAAATCTCATAACCATGCACACTGCTTTGTACAGTTTTACAAACAACTTTACCACAAAATTAACCAACTTTCTCAAGTAAGGGTTCTAAATATGCAAAACCTAAGCTAGTGTTAAAATGTTTCCCCAGGTTTTATTCCAATGATAGAACCAAAAGGACATAAATTAATTGAACTTCCATATTCTTAATTCAAGTAGTTTAACAGCTTTGGGTTAAAAGTTCAGTCATAGTACTGAGTAACGCATGATCTAAAACTAAGAAATAATACACCTCAGGCTCTTAAACTGTATCTATTGTTCCTAATGTCTTAGCTTCTAGTGAAGCACAGAGAACAGATAGAGTGAAAGTTTGACCTGTATGCACAGTAAGGGTATGCAAACATTCTTGATAGAATCCGAGCTGCTTGAATTGGAGTAATAATCATCCACTGACTTGAAACCAAACGAAACTGCAAACCATTGAAGTACCCTTTGGAATGTGGGGGTGCCAACAGGAAAACTATAGAAATTACAGCTAGTACAGTTGGGTTAGAAGTTGCAGCAAACCTCGGGTTAGCCCCTCATCAAAATCTCTAACAGTTCTTGCATTCGCGGCCTTGGGTATATCATATTCACCCTCCAGCCCTTCAAAAAGGAGAGCATGCCTAAATTTTGTTCAAATCCCTAAAGATCAGCTGTTAGAAATCATAAACGAGTACAAATGTCACTAAGATTTGATGAGAGGAGACAAAAAGGCATACTTCTTAAATATAGTTGTCAAAGCCCTAGCCAATGCTCTATCATAAACGTTGTTAAATCCTTTGTGGAAATCTTCATCTGCAATTACCAAATTAAAAGGATTGCACAAGGAGACTGCACCAGATAGAGGGCATTTATCGGTTTCCTGAAAAAGAATATATACACATAAAGATAAGCTATGAGCTGCTGGAGGAAATACATATCTGTGATCAACCATACATAGTTTTATGCAGGAAGATACAAAGAAGCGCCAGGGAACAACAGGAGGGGAGGGGTGATGCGTATGATAGATCACTTGTTGCACCCAAAGAAAATTAGTGCATACATGAGTTAGCTACTAATCATTTTTCACCACAGAAAGATGTGCACTGGCGGACCCAGGGCCCGTCGACCCTGGGCGCCTGCCCGGGCTCTGCTCGGTGACGGACGTTAGCAAATGAAGGGCAGTGCACCACTGCTGCAGCCTGCACTGTACGTGTCTGCACACTGCACACTCGATTCAACTTCTTCTCATCAAAAGTCTCACGGAGTGTGATAGGCATGCAGCGCAAACTCAGACATCATGCATGTAGCTAGTACAGTACTAATTAATAATTGACTTTGTACTTAATAATTAAATTATCATTCTTGGTCAGTTTCAGAACTCAAGACTTAAAAATGCAGCCAGCCTATACCTATGCAGCCAGCCTGTACTCTTGGAGATGGCCATATTTATTCCTTTCCACCCTTTTTTGGTAGTTGAAAAACACTATGTTTTTGGAAGAAATTATTAAGTACTCTTGGAGATGCTCTTACATAATATATATTGGGATTTTTTTTTAGCAATTCAACGTATAATTAATTTTAGTGTCATAGGGCATGTTTATATATTTTCTAGCTACAAATTGCCACATTTATGACTCTCATAATTTATTTCTTTATAAACTCTGATATATGATGACTTAGGGCTTGTTTGGATACCCATGTATTCACCTCAATCCATGTGTGTTAATTCACTCCAACACACATTTATTGAGGTAGATACATGAGCATCCAAACAAGGCCTTACATGGAACACCATGTTTTTTCTCAATTTAAGTATGTGAAACCTTAGTTCTTTGAGTACAGTTAAATATCTATTTATACCTATTATTCATAATATATATGCTTAAATTACATGTAAGTATCATATGATGCTATTGGAACTTAGCGTCCGCAATACCACCTGCTATCCGCGATCCAGGACACCAATCCGCTACCAACCCACTATACGTAATTTAGTACCTTTATATTCACCCAGGCTCTACAAAATTTCTGGGTCCGCCACTGAAGATGTGTATAAGGTACAAAACTTCAAGCGGAACTGCAATCACATGAATGTGACAATAGTACAATACAAAAGAATTATTGTAGACTGCTTATCACTGGGTGCAGAACTCACCTCGCCAAGGTAGCGCACAAGAATATTCGCTCCAAGAGACCAACCGGCAGCATAGACATTAGACTGGGGATAACGTCCTAAAATATCACCAATAACTTGGCGGAGATCCCCTGTAAATGAAGCAGAATAGAACTGCACATGACAGAAGATGCAAGTCAACGTATGTCCTAAAAAGAAGATGGTCCGCTACAGCTTCAGGCCTTGATTTCATTTGTTATCTTTATCTCCTTACTTATTATGTACACTTTGTTAACCCCTAGGTTTCCTCATCAAGGTTTATCCATTGAGTTTGATTCAAGGCCCCATGGTAAAAGATGTTGATTGGCAACATGCATATTGCCACTTTATCGGTATGCTGTACTCATCAGGGTGAAGCTTAGAAATTTATGAGAGACAAATCAGTTTAAGGACACAAGGTGGCCTATTTTACTAGGGCAGCAAGTAGCCACAAAATAAAACCAAAAACTCTTCAACGTTGAGCAACAATGCAATTTATTGTTAATCATACACTTCAATGTTATTTAACCTTTTCCTACTTTCAGTTCAAAACTCCAATTATGTCAAGTTTTACAGTAAAAGCCAGTTCACTCGCCCTTTAGTCAGTTTCTGGCTACACCCTAACGTCCCTGAGTAGGAACAGTCATCAGCGAAGAGTACACAGAAGCAATGATGTACAGAGTGCATTTATCACAACAGATGCCAACATGAAAAAATATATATATTTGGACAGTTTGCACATAAGAACTGGTATGAGCCAACTTTTAGGCAGCACAGGAGATGCTCTAAGCTAGTAAGAGGTTCAGTTCTGTCCAGCTTACCACAACAAAATGGGTGTGTCTACTGCTACTGATAATTAACTTAAAAGGGGGCAGTGCACTTCTCAATCAATCAAACCATATAAATGAGATCTTAGCACTTCTCCCTGACAAGTATCAAAAGGGAAAATATGGTCCATTGTATAGTTTTGAAACTTTTAATGAGCTATGGGAGCTATAAATAAGCTTTACAGTGCTAATAAAAAAATTGGAAAAAGTATCTCAAGTACCTTGGGTGTAGTAACAGGACTGTCTGCACATCCACGGCTATTAAACACCACAACACGCCATCCCTTGCTTCTAGCTCTCAGAAGCATATGCCTTACATATGTATCATCACTTCCACCTGTAAGACCAGGCTGAAAAGACATCAAACTTACATTAGTCTATAAGCAAAACAAAAAAGATAATGGAATTGAAAATTATTCGGCTCCACACCCTTTTGCTTTGCTTCAGGTGAAAGTTATTTTTGGGTCATTTAATTCCATTTGTATCTTATAGTGAATTTCAATATAACTCAATTCCAAACGATGATGAGAAATAGTATCCTCATATCCTTGAATGAAACTTGTGCATTCTACATCATGCTGAAGAACACAAGGGCTGAAACATGTTCGAGACTTGATCCTATTAGCATTTGATATGGACGTTGGTTCATCATGTGAATATGCTGAAACTACACAATGTAAACAGATTATGCAATTGGAACCAAACACCTATTAAGTCATAAACTCATAACAGTACTACATTTTCAGTTCCAGATTATACTACTACAGTACTGCAGCCTATTTCACTAAACGGCCTAAATCTATGCAAACTATACCAGAACCCAGATACTAAAATTCTGCAGCACTTCTATTTGTTACTCGCTTGATGCACTTGTGCAGCAAGAGCCCACGACACCGACAACAATTATATCAATTAAGCAAATTACATACAAGCCATGGGCTGTCTAATGGTGAGGTATCATCTAAAACTCCCTGCTTACTCCTTTTGCTCCCCAAACTGAAATGAGCTGTAGATCGCTTGCAGCCCTACTAGAATATACTAGCATTACCAAAATAGACAGTAAAATCTTAGTTTCGTCACATCATCATGCTGTAGGTACCGTTGACATTCACATCTCATAACCTCAATTCCACGTTTCCAACGAGAACCAAAGCCTTAATCACAGACATCATTGACGCTTAAAAGAGCACGCACTACTCTTCCTGCGTGTACAGTGCAGTCAGTACTGCAACGGGCAACGACGCGAGCGGGTAAGGAGCACCGTACCAAGAGTATAAGCACCGGAGCATCCATCGGAAGCGTGCGGTCGTCGCCAGAGACCCAGTCGAGCGCGATGGCTCCGTCGTCAGGGGCGCGAAGGCACTCGCGCCGCAGTTTAACGGCGGGGAGCGACCGCGCGAACGCAGCGAAGATGGTCTCGACGTGTCGGTTCGACGCGAGTACGGGGAAGGCACGGTACGGGGCGCGGAGGCTGGCGAAGCCGGAGAGGAGGCCCCGGCGCGCCCCCGCGATCTCGAGGGTCGAGTGCGGGAGCGGGGCCGCCTGCGCCTCTTCCCCAGTGCCGGAGCTGGGGCTTGGGCGGAGGCGGATACCGCGGCGGAAGACATGGCAGCGGCGGGGAGGAGGGAGCGGAGGCGAGGGGCGAAGCGGCGGGTCGAAGCGACGAATGGGGATGGCGTCGGGGCGGCGACGGCCATCGGGTTCATTTCCTCTGCGGCTCTGTTGAGTGTCCAGTCGGCTTTGGGCTCCTGCTTTTCGAGGTTCGAGCTGTCTGACTGTCTCTCGTCACGTGTGTGGGACATGGATGAGCCAAGTAGCATCGGTGGTGAACGCAGATTCGGTGGCTTGCCTTGACGAAGGACAGTTTTGCTTTCTTTGCTCGCCTCACCTCAGTACCTCACCTTGCCAAGCTAGGCTAGTCTCATCTAACCAGGGTGAGTGAGAAATTAGCCAGCCTGAGATAGCAAGGAATATCCTTGCCAGCAAAGAAAACGAGGAAATCTGTTAGAGATCTAAACACTCAATCAACTACGTGCGCGATTGGTTAAAGGCGATTGGCCTCACCAACATTAGCTATGAGGAGCTTGTCAGGCGGAGCGAGCCAATTTGGCTCGCTTGAGTTACCAAGAAACTTAATGGCAAAGCAATTATTTGCTCTACCTCTTCCACCTAATGAGCACTAGCTTTGGTCTTATTGTGTCCACTGCTAATGACATTATGGCCTTTGATGTGGAGGATTATAAAGGCATGAATTGAGGATGGCTAGTTGGCAACTCTGATGCAATGCTAGATATGATTGAAATGTGGAGAAAGGGGAAGAGCATGGAGATGAAACTAGAAGAGAGACAAAGCGTATAGATGGAGCACTAGAGACTAACATGTGGGTTGGTTGGAGCCCGTTTAGACCTAGATGACAAAGTAGTTTGAGTACTTAATAAAATAATATTTTGATTCTAAATGGCATCCAAGACAAGTTCATGTACCCAAAAAGCATTTTTAGAGTTCGAGTACCTAGATGACACCATAAGTACATAGAAATGCATTTTGAGCATTGTTCGCCTAAAATGGTCATTTAGCCCGTTTACACACCGTTTAAATGTTGCATGGTGGTATGTTGTCTCCATTTAATCAACCATTTATCTTGTTTAAAATACCATTTTCCCGTTTAGCCTAAATAACAGTGAAACGACAAGTGATTGATGGTTTATCGTTCAGCATTTAGGATAATATTAATTTTGAGAGTCCAAGGACCAATATGACACCACGAGACAAGTATGCTCCAACAAGCACGTCCAACTTGAAGTCTTCACAGCATAGTGACATTGAATCATCCACCGGTCCACATAGGCCCTTTCATTGTACTCCTATCAACAACATTAACTAACCCAAATTATTATAGCACAGTAACTAGACGAGCTAGTGGCCTTGATTAACCGCTATGGTGCCTTTGTCATAGAAGCAAACCAATATCGAGACCTGATAAAAGCCATTATTTATATATATTGTCTCTACGTAATTTGATCATTGCTTTTCATTTCATCAATGATCTATTCTTGATAACTATGAATGAACTGCCAATAGCTTCTCATTCATGCAAAAGCTTTCATTGAGACCAAATCATATCCATTTCTATTCCCCTTTTTGTTTACCAATTTGCTTGCCTTTTCTTGTATCCTAGATATGATATTAGTTTCATAGAATCATTTATAATGAAACCTAACCAAACTCATCAAACTTATTAGTCATTTAATAATTTTATCATTCAACTACCGAAACAGATTAGGAGGCTTAGATGTACTTTCACAATAAACATAAAAAAATCATCATAGAAGATTCACATAACTCCAAGATAGGCACAGATAGATAGAGTATGATTTTAGAAAAAAAAATCTAAAACTGGTTTCATATATTTTCCATGCTAAAACAAATTTGCTATAAAATTTCCAAGATTAACCATATTTTATAACAACAAGGTGGGCCACCGATCCACCGTGACAACTGACAAGAGAGGAGAGGTGTAGGCTAGGCCAACTAAGTTAAAAATTCACAGCCAAAATAAGTTCATAAATCGATTTTTTTGTTCGTTAGAGAAGATACTCCCAAATTCCGCAGCCCTCGTCCATCGTTTGTGTGGACATCATAAGCTCGACGCCCTGCGCCATCCGACGCGCCAAATATCTCGAGTGCCCAATCAAAATAAAAAATATCTCGAGTGCCCCACATTCTGACAGACACTCCTTCTCTCACTGACATCTCAGTGGGCCATAGCCCGTCCCCAGCAACTCCGTGCGATATCTCAAACCAAACGGATAAGCTCCGCCCGGGGCCCGCCCAAGCTGAAATCATGAAGAAGGAGTCACTGACGATGGGCCTTAGGCCTTGTTATACAAGTTTGGGTCCCATATATCAGGTTAAAGATAAGAAATCGCTGTTTGCGGGAGTAGGTTTGGCAGAGGAGTAGCCTTAACAACCCGGCTTGACGGCGTGATACTCAGCAAACGGCCACCCCCTTCCCTTTCCCTCCATCCCTCTTCGTCTCGTATCCGGATCGACCCTTCCTCTTCGTCTCGTATCCGGATCGACTCTTCGTCGCGAACGATTCCTCCACGCGCGCGCGCAGCAGCAGCGGCGGAGTTGGGCGAGCTCCGTGGTGTTGCTTCTCGCTCAACCCGTACGCTAGCACGTCTAGGGTTCGTGCCTTCCTCTCCGTATGGCTTGCGCCGCCGCGGAAACCCTCGCCTCGTTCCCAATCGCATCCCCGTCCCGCTCGCTCCTACGCCCTTTCCCCCGGCGACCCGCCGCCGCCGCCGGGAGAGGCGCGCCGTCGATCCGGATATCCGCCGTGCCGCCGCGGGGCCTCGGGCTCGCGCTCGTGCACCGCCGCGTGCGCCGCTGCCCGCCAGCGGCGCGCGCGAATGTCGAGCGCGACGGCGACGGCGCCTCCGGCAACGGCGAGCCGTCGTCCTCGTCCGGGGATGGCGACCGCGACGCGGCTGCGGAGTCGGGGGGCGATAGCACCAGCACGAGCACCACGAGCGCGGCCGCGCCGCCGCCGCCGCCGTCGTCGAAGAGGGGCGAAAATAAGTGGCGGCGGAGGCTGATTAAGGGAGGAGGCGGCGTCGGGCGGTGGCTATGGGAGCCCATAGTGCAGGGGCGGGAGATGGGCTTCCTCCTGCTCCAGCTCGGCTTCGCCATATTTGCGCTGCGCATGCTTCGGCCAGAGATCGCGTTGCCTGGTTCAGAGCCCCGCCCGCAGACGACGTACGTCAGTGTACCGTACAGCGACTTTCTGGCGAGCATAGACAAGGACCAGGTGAAGAAGGTTGAGGTGGATGGTGTGCACATCATGTTCCGGCTCCGCCCAGAGGTTGAGTCCCAGGTCCGTGTGGTGCAGACACCAACACAGCGCGGAACAGATGCTGTCGTTGATAATACTGGAGCTTCAAGGAGAATTGTATTCACGACGACTCGTCCAGTGGACATAAAGACACCATACGAGAAGATGGTGGAAAACATGGTTGAATTTGGGTCACCAGACAAGAGGTCCGGCGGCATGCTCAATTCTGCCCTGGTAAGGCACTTATGCTGAAACATATTTCTGATGCAAATGCAAAGTTTGTGGCTTGAAATTAATTTAGGAGTAGTACCAATTACACCAGATTAGGAATTTTAAAATTTGTATCTAAGCATGTAAAATGACAGAGATTGGAAAGTCAAAGATGTTCTAAGCACTGAAATTGATGGATGAACAATTTATAATGATATTTGACGAGTGAATCCAGTAGGTCCACTTTGTGTGAGCATTGTATATGTACAGTGTGAGGCAGAATATTGCATATTATATGTTGAAATGCTTGCTCTATAATGTTATACTTGTCCTGTCTAGAATCCAAGTGTTTTCCACAGATGCAACATGATCATAGGTCTGCTCTGTTTTATTGCTAGACTCAGGAGATAACATGTTTAGTTGATCATACTGTTGTAACTAATGATTCAGCAATATGATATGATCCAGTGGTTGGACTGTTGATAAAGTGATGATTTATAATCCTTGGACCTGCATATGTTAAAGTAGATCTGGAACCGACAAATTAATGCATTAGGTTTTGTGTAACCTTGTAGAGATGGGATCCTAATTGAGGATTGTAAATAGGAATTTGACAGGATTGAAATTCCATCGCTATGGGCACATGGTTTTTTCTCATACATGCTTGCATTTATCTATATATATACGTATACATGTGACTGTATTCTTTACATACAGACCCTCTTCAGTTGGTGCCTTTCACTCTAACTGCCCTTACCTTTTGCAGGTAGCTCTTATTTATGTTGTATTGATTGCAGTAGTTTTGCAGCGGTTGCCAATAAGCTTTTCTCAGGTACTGATGCATGACCTCAATCAATTGGCAAGTGCATACTCTTCACTTAGTTGCATTTCATTTGTATGTATCTAATTTCTTATGCAAACTCAGAATTCAGCCGGTCAGTTGAGGAATAGGAAGAAGTCAAATTCCGGCGGCACAAAAGTTTCCGAAAGTACGGATATAGTTACATTTGCTGATGTGGCTGGAGTAGATGAGGCAAAAGAAGAGCTGGAAGAAATTGTGGTATGGACCCTACATTTTTTTTAATGTAATGGATCCTACAATTCGATAGTAGTACTTGCAGCAATCAAATGAAGGGAAATAAGCTGGTCCATACATATTTTTTGCTCAGGAGTTCTTAAGGAACCCAGAAAGATATATCCGTCTTGGTGCTCGCCCTCCTCGTGGTGTCTTATTGGTTGGTTCTGCAAATTCTTTTAGTAATGGCGACTACTGCTTGACAATTGTGTTTGTTACCATAATGTAATTCTTTATCTACAGGTGGGTCTTCCAGGGACTGGAAAGACACTTCTGGCAAAAGCCGTAGCAGGAGAAGCAGATGTCCCATTCATAAGTTGCTCTGCTAGTGAATTTGTTGAGCTATATGTAGGCATGGGAGCAGCTCGAGTACGTGACCTATTTGCTAGGGCCAAAAAGGAATCACCATCGATTATTTTTATCGATGAGGTAACCTACACATCTATGATACGATCTAGCTTCATGTACTGAATTGTATGCTTATAACCCCTATCTGTCTGGCTTGTCTCTGTAGATTGATGCCGTTGCAAAAAGCCGTGATGGTCGATATCGCATTGTCAGTAATGATGAACGTGAGCAGACACTAAACCAATTGCTCACGGTAGGACAGTGCTCTTTCTCATTTCTTGAGTATTTGCTAAATTAGCTGCATCGCAAGTTGAGACCCAATTAAAGCTTCTACCTGTACGGCTGTACCTTATTGGCTGATAATTGGTTCTATGTTCTTGGTAAAACTTAAAAGGGATTTGAGTCACACGCTACTTCACTACTAAGAATACTGCTTTATCGTGCAATATTTGTTTTTTGAGAAAGGGTAGAAACAGTATTATTATTGGTTTAACTGTCTTAATTTTGGGTTCTCCCCAGGAAATGGATGGCTTTGACACCAACTCGGCTGTCATTGTACTGGGGGCAACAAATCGAGCTGATGTTCTGGATCCTGCCCTTAGGCGCCCTGGGAGATTTGACCGTGTAGTTATGGTTAGTTTCCCTTCTCAAAAAGATATGGTGCTATTGTGTTCAACTTTTCTCAGATGTCATTAATGTCTAAATGACAGGTTGAAGCTCCTGATAGGTTTGGAAGAGAATCAATTCTAAAAGTTCATGTGAGCAGAAGAGAGCTTCCACTGAGTAAAGATGTAGATCTAGCCGATATTGCTGCAATGACAACTGGTTTTACTGGGTAGAACTTATTCCACCAATTTCTTGATCTTGACCTTGTAGAGATTTCAAATTGACATGTTAAATAATTTTTATACTATACAGAGCAGACCTTGCAAACTTGGTAAATGAAGCTGCTTTGTTGGCTGGGCGATTAAATAAAGAAATAGTGGAAAAGATTGACTTCATCCATGCGGTTGAGCGATCTATAGCTGTATGTTGTTTCTCCTTCTCATTTTTATTTTTCACTTCTTTTGTTTCTACCCGCTTTGTATGGGTGGGGCAGGGGTTCGGGGGTTTCCTCGACTTGTGTGAGATGGTCTTCTTCTTAATGCAATGCCTGGTGGCTGTCTTACCCCCTGCAGGTTGAGTTTTTCTTTTCTTTTCCCTACCTAAAGGACTTGTATTATGCATAAGTGTAAGATACAATTTTCATCATTACTGTCTTACGCTAGCACAATCTGGACAAGTGTAAGATACCATTTTCTTGTTTCCTTATTTCTATGTTTATTTAACCATGCCATGCACAGAGCTTGCAACATCTTCACCATTTGTAAAAACCCATTCATGTATTTTTTCTTTCTTCTCTGCATATGGCATTTAATATGTCAGCATGTATATCTCATCATGACTGGGAGTATATCTTTTTTTTTCTATATTCTAGTTGTCAGTCATGATAGTTCTTTGTGCTATTGTCCTGGAAGCTAATTGTGAACGTTATATTATTATCAGGGGATAGAGAAAAAGCATGCAAAATTGAAGGGTCATGAAAAAGCTGTTGTTGCACGACATGAAGTTGGTCATGCACTTGTGGGAACTGCTGTAGCAAACCTTCTTCCTGGACAACCACGTGTGGAGGTTTGAACTTAAGCAACTACTGATAGAACGGTCTGAGAAAAAAGATTTAATTTGAGTTACTTTTTAATGCTGATTTTCAGAAATTGAGTATATTGCCAAGATCAGGAGGTGCATTAGGCTTCACGTATACCCCTCCCACCACAGAGGATAGATATTTACTCTTTGTTGATGAACTACGTGGCCGTTTAGTAACACTTCTGGGTGGAAGGGCAGCAGAGGAAGTTGTTTTAGGAGGACGGGTTTCCACTGGTGCACTTGATGACATAAGACGTGCTACTGACATGGCCTACAAAGCTGTAGCAGAATATGGTCTTAATCAGCGCATCGGGCCAATATCACTTGCTACACTGTCAAATGGTGGGTTAGATGACTCTGGTGGCTCTCCATGGGGACGAGATCAGGTTTGCCTCAAAACTTTTCCTGCACCTTCAAGAACCATTGAGCTGCATCTGCAAGAACTGAGCTCAAATTTGGAACCTAATGGCAGGGCCATCTAGTTGATCTCGTTCAGAGGGAAGTAAAAGCGCTTTTACAGTCGGCACTGGAAGTAGCTCTTTCAGTTATTCGTGCTAATCCTGCAGTTTTGGAAGGCCTCGGAGCATATTTAGAAGGTGATCTGCCTAATGATCTGGACGTCTTATGTTATGGTTCTGCTATATGCCATTTTATTTGCCTCATCAGGTAAACATAAAAGTTGTTTTATGTGTGGTGTGAAACTTCTCGTTTTCATGCATTTTTCAGAGAACGAAAAGGTTGAAGGTGAGGAGCTTCAAGAGTGGCTAAAGTCGGTTGTTGCACCAAAAGAGTTGACGTCTTTTATCAGAGGACAAGAGCAAGTTCCTCAGCTGGAAGCAGGCTTCTAGTGTCAGGAGTATACATTGGACTCTTCAGCAATTAGAACATACAATGTGAGTTCCAAGGTATGCAATGGAAACCTTCATACTGGGAACAGACCTGTGGCCATGTGGTGGGTTGTTTGACCTCCCAGCCACTCATGCTTAAGACAAACTGGGTCTGCTAAGACAAACTGGGTCGGACGCCCACACTTTGTTCGGTGAATCATGAGTTCGAGCCTTAAGAGGAGAATTTTCAGAAAAGGAAGTCTACATGCCCGTGACGATGTAAATACCTATCATGCAGTTCCTGGACCCTTGACTACCAAAAAACAAATCCAGAGATGATTCATATTGAGCTGTAAACATTGTAACATCAACCTCAGGAATATTGTAAGTGATTCTGTTTCACATGTTCATAGATTAAGTCGGTGTTACACATGTAAAAGATTCGTTTTCCCCCCTAGGTTCTTGTCCTCACCCTATTGGAAGTTATTTTCCTCCTTTACAATACAATCCTAGAAATGATCACTAGGATAGATAATGCTTATACGGACTATGGTTCCTGTATGGATATACTTTTTGCAATATACATCGGGCTTCAAATCCATCATTTGTCGACATTCCGCTAATGGAAGGTTTTCTGCATCTTGCTGTCTTGCACATGGAGCATTGAGAATTGTTCTTCGGAATGGTGATTGCTTTTTGAAAGAATAGAAATGTGAGTCCTAAGTGCTTGTTTCTGAATTCTGAAGCAGTAGCGTATGAAGTTTCAGTGGGAAGTTTTCATATATGGCCCCCCTAACACACATTAGAAATGACGGACCACCCAACAGTGACAAAAACTTTCCTAGGAACAAAATTTAACCATTATTACGAAAGCAACTATACCACGAACGGCTTAATTAGCAGTATACATCCTGTTCGATATACTTCGTCACAGTACGTCACACTCGCATCAACAACTAGCGGAATCAACGACGGTACCTATCTTGTCTTGTCTACTCTGCCTTGGCCTTGGTGTAGTTCTGCAGCGCGAAGGCCAGGGCCAGCAGCAGGACGGGCACGGCGAGCTGCAGGAGCGTTGCCCAAGCGCCGGCGGCGCTCGTCGTGGCCTTCTCGGACCTGCTGGCGTCCTTGGTGACGACGTGGGTGAGCTTGGCCGGGATGGTAGCCGCGTCGACCTCGCCGATGCAGTACTTCGGCATCAGCTCCTTGGCGGAGTCGGTGTGGCCGATGTCCTCGAAGTCGGCGGTGGCGTCCTTGCCTGCGCAAGACGAAGACGGCGGCGGCGGTGAGTCGTGGACATCATCAGTAAGCACTACTAATTAACTCATCACCGTTCTGGAAACTGGAAATAGTTACCGACGCACGCCAGCAGGACCTCGTCGCCGCCCGGGTGCTCCTCCATGAACGGCGTGACGTCGTACACCTGAGGAGAGCAGCAGCAAGGCCGGGGACGTCAGACACGGTCGGTCGGTCAAACCAGGAAGAAAGCATACGCTTGCTCCTTGATTTGCTCGATCGGATAAAATTCCATGCACGTCGACGGAGATTTGCATCGGAAACGCCGGTAACGAAGATGAATTGTTACGTAAGTTAAGTACGTACGTACCTTGCCGGCGATGATGAGCCAGCAATCCTTGCGATCGCTGTGCTTCCTCACCTCCTCAAACGAGTAAACCTTGCCTCCCGCCATGAAGACCTTGATCGACCTTCCGAGACGAGGATTGAACGGAACCGGATGAAGAAACTATACTCTACTCAAAAACTCTTTTGTGATTTTGGGTGTGTATATAGTGAGCGAGGACACTTACAGGCTTACAGATACAGCGATATATATGTGCTCCGTTCCTGTCACCGGTCGAGCAGGGCGCGGCTGAAGGGATGACTCTGCAGTCTGCCGGTGCCCAAGCTATACCACGGTTTGGCCGATCCCGTGTGCCCGGCTCCTGCACCGTCCGCTGCTGACTAAAATATATAGCCATTGCGGCGCAGTCATCTCACGTTTGTTGACCTGGCGCCGTGGCAGGTCTCTCGGTTACACTTGGTGGCTCACACGTGTCATGACATTTTGGCGCCGTGGCAGGCCAACGATTAATTCACTGATACGAGTTCTAGGTTGATAACACAGAGGAAACAAAAAAGAAAAATTACTCGCATCGCACAGTACAAGGGACTAAAGATTTCCAAACGGGCCGCACGGGCACTACACGGCACGAGCACGGCTGGGCACGGCACGGTAGCCATGCCGTGCCGTGCCGTGTAGTGCCGCCGTGCTCAGCCTCTGGCCCAGGCACGGCACTAAGCACTCCAGACCGTGCCGGCACTCCAGCGTGTTAGTGCCGTGCCTTGGCACTAACCCACAAAACCACATCAAAATTTCAGAAAACAGAGAATAGCTCAAATATGAAGAAATCAAAATAAAGAAGAGAACACCAGGCAACAAAATATCAAAAGGAAGGGTTGTGCAATGGCTGCCTCATTAAAAACCTGTCCGGGTAAAACTCACCCTTGTGAGAAACCCTGGACAGGAAAAAAGAGTGCAGCCAGCCCCTTAGTGTAATTCAATTGTTCATTACATCCAATCCACAGGTCCAAAGCATCCAAGTCCAATTAAAATTACAGACCATTACATAAATGAATGACTAATCAAGATAAAGGTTTTCAAAGGCCTCCTCGAGCTCCTTATCCTCCACCATATGTTGTAGCCTTGACTCAGCAGCTTCCCAGTCCTTGATGCATGTGAGTGCCTCCACAGTCTCAGGGTTTAGCCTCCGCCGCCTTTCTTCAATGATCTTGCCAGTGGTATTGAAAGTAGCTTCTGATGAAATGGTAGAAACAGGCACACTGAAAACATCTTTAGCAAGGGTAGAAAGAACTGGATATGTTAGCTTATGATGATGCCACCGATTCGGGATGTTGAAGTCATCATCCCACGCTCACTCGTGTCACATCCAGATAAGCGAGCATGTTCGAATCATCGCTAGAAGAATTTGCTTTGCATGTAGCAAAGCGATGGCGTCATATCAAGATTAGGAGAAAGAGAAGAACAACCAGCTCCAACCATACCACCACCATCATCATCATCATCATATATTTCAGCCCAAGCTGTTCTTTTCTTACCGATAGGCTTGGAGGGTCACCCCTTTTGGCCCCTCAGATCCATACAAATCATCATACTTATGATACAGTTTGAAGAGAAGAGTTCTAGTTTGCATGAGCTTATTAGAATAATCAAAGACATCAATAAGCAAATTTAACTTTCTAAGCACTTTGTTAAAACCTTTAATTTTAGCTCTTGGATCCAAGATAAATGCAATGCAGTAAAGATCAGGTATGGTTCTCCAATACTTATTGTACTTATCAATCATAGGTTGAACAACAGTTCTAATATGTTCATCATTTTGATACTTATGCATGTGTATAGCAATCTTAACAATATGATGAACCATAAGTGGGGCAGTAGGATAGTAGACACCAGACAAAGCAACTGTTGAGTCATAAAACAGTTCAAGGAATTTCAGTATTTTAATTGCCATAGCCCAATGATCATGAGTCAAAAGAAAGGGGCCACCTTTAGCTCTAGGATAATTAGACTCAATGAAAGTATGGAAAGTTTCCTTGTGTGGTAGCAAATGCCTAAGCATCAGGTACGTAGAGTTCCATCTAACATCCATGTCCAATGCAAACTTCCTAGGTCTAATACCAGATGCCATGCAATAACTCTTATATGCAGCAACTCTCTGGTTAGAAGAGTTAATATATGATATTGCAGTTCTGAAAGCATCAATCAAAGGACTAACAGCAACCAGAGCCTCTTTAACAATCAGATTTATGATATGACAAGCACAGCGTTGATTCAAAAACAAATCAGAACCTAAATACTCCTTAAGCACAGGTTTCAGTTTATCCATAGCTTTGTTATTAGCAGAGGCATTGTCCAAAGTAACAGAAAAGACCTTGTTCAATATACCATAATCATTAAGCACATTACTAACACGTTCAACAATGTTCTCAGCATTATGTGATGCATCTATAAGCCTTAAGCCAAGCACTCTTTTTTCAAGTTGCCAATCAGCATTAATGTAATGACCAACAACACTCAAATAATCTTCTTTAGCATTTCCGGACCAAATATCGAAAGTAATAGCAGATGAAATGGCATTGTTCTTCAAATCATCAATCAAACGACCACGCTTCTCATTGAAATACTTAAAAAGATCTCTAGCTGTAGTTTGCTTAGAAACAGATTGAGTACCTAGGGTTATGAGCGTTTTATGTAATCTTCCGTGCCTCGCCTTCACCAAGACGTGGGGAAGATCTAGCCTAGCAAGCAAACGAACAAAAGTTGAACACGAGCAACCTCAATGAATTACTCCCAATTACGCATACTACCATCCTTATTGAAAGTAATGTGGGACCGAGCCATGCGACATTTCTCACGCTTTTTAGGGCAAGAGTCTTGATGACGGAGAAGGTGGCCAGTCCCAAATTTAGAATTAGCGAGTACTCCTTACGGCGGTGAAGACACCGAACATATACCGACATCCTTACCATTTACCTTCTTGTAGAGCTTCTCGAAATCCTCCCAACAAACCGAGGTAGAAGGCGGTTAGGCCGGCTGGTTGAGCCATCATCGGCTGAGCGAAAGTGTCGCTCGACGGCGTTAGGGCCGTCGGCGTCGTCGACGGGAAGTGGGTGAGTAGCAGATCACGCCGTTGAGCTCCTCGGCGACGACGACCAAGAGCTCCTCAAAGATCCCCACAATATCGTCCTCGTCGTCTCCGGTCATCCCAGCAGAGGCGCAACTCGTCGTTGATCGTCATGGAGAGACCGATGTCCTCCTACTCATCCGACATCTCATCGTCGCCGGCCTCCGGTCCCTCAACGCCAGTGGCTTCAAAAAAAGAAACAGATCTAGGGTTAAATCAAGAAGAAGAAAAAGAAGTAAAAAACAACAAAGCAAGATCAACAAGAAGAAGAAGTGAAGAAGAACAAATAATCAAGAAGAAGAAGAAGAACAAAAA